TGTTCTTCTTCTTGTTTTCATTAATTGTATTAGATTTTTAAATTTCCAATACATGTGTGCATCTTATATTTTATAAATTTCACCCTCTTGCGCCTTTATTTTTCTGTCTTTTATGGCGAGTTATTTATTTATTTTTTTTTCTTTTTATAGATTTTGATTTTAAATTTAAAATCACGTGCTGGTAGCATGCAAAAAAAAATTTTTTATTCTTTTTGTTTTGATCCGATTTTTCGTATCTTTAAATTTTTTATTTTTATATTTTTTATTTTATAAAATTGATTAATGCTACATACTTACAACAAAATTTGTAATTTTCTTTAACGCCATATTAATTACAATTGCACACACCGCAATATCGGCGACACACATACTTATTGTTATGCGTGGTTAACACAATAGACAAATAAAAATAAAATAGGCTGAATGGAAATTTTTTGTTAGTCCAATTGGTTGGCATAATTTCATGATTAAATTTGTACTTAATCCTATATCATGTATTTACATCTTGACATTACAAAAAATCTGTCCGTATTTCTGTCAGTATTCCAAATTGTGAGACACTTAAGATATTTTGAATACATTTTTTATTCAATAATTATTTGATAGTTTTTGTTCGAAATTCAAATTTGAGAAGATTTGGCTGAGTCATCAAAATAAAGATTACCTTCATCACAGAGTTAAAATACTACATTACTACATTTATACATACATACATACATACATATAAAATTTTTCTATATCATATTCAAATTGTACAGGTTTTAAATAATTTAAATAATTTATAATAAAATTCATTTCATAACTATAATAATTATAGCTCTGTTCAAAATTATTAAAATTATTCTTAATCAAAATTATATACATACTAGAATTTATTTGTCACGATATAATAATAAACAATTAATTAAACTAATAAATATTATTAATAATATACTACGTGTAGGTTCTATGTAGATATTTAAAAACAAAGATCTTAAATGCGCGTTATAAGGTCTCGTCTCTTTAAATGCGATTATTAAATACCTAAGCACATGTTTTACAACGTAAATATTATGCAAAACAATATTTTTGTTTTTAATAATATTTTTTAGAATAAAAGAATGTAAAGTAAGTAAAACTATTAAAAAAAAAATAAATAATATTCAAAATAGAAACTTTCACTTCAAAACAAAAATGATTAATTTTATAATAAACTTAAAATTGTTGCAAAAAAATTGTCATTTAAAAAAATATTTAAACTCTGCTAACATTAAGATAGCTTTGTACTTTTCAGTTCTTTAATTATAGATCGTTTACTATGAGAGTAATTATTCTCAAATCTTGTAAATTACAAAATAATGAAATCAATTTAATGAGCCTGTTTACACTTACATGCATTAAGCGTATGTCCAACAATTCTTTTATGATTCTTACACCGTTTCATTTTCTAGGAAGGTAGGATGTAAGAAGCATAAAAGAAGTACTGTGCAATACGCTTAATGGAAATACACATATAAAAAGTCCAAAACGACAACACAAACTTCAAAAATTAAAATATATGTTGTCAAAAAAATTTTTTTTTGATAGATTACGAGTTCATTTAAATTACTAAAATATTCTTTACATTTAGTCAATTAAATGTAATAAATATTCAAAATTTTAATTCATTAATAAAATATTCAGAGTATTATAAAAATTATTTTCTAATTAAATTTTCAATTTTAATTTTGTAATTATATATTAAATATACATAATTATGTACGTATGTACATTATTTTCAATTTTTATAAAATGTAAGTGTAACAAATAATTTCTAAAAACAGTCGTCAAACAATAAACCGTTTTGACCTTATCAACCATGTCAATACTATGTATTGTAAGAAAATGAAAATATTGCTAATTGCTAATCAATCATTGTGAGATTACGTACATTCATACGTCAAAAATAATGATTTTCAATTAGAATTTGTTTATTTTTCCTAACTTGATTTCACAATAAAAACAAAAATATATTTTAATTTTTTAAAAGTGGTTTCAAATTAAAATCTTCTTGTATATTTTAAAGTATTTTATAAAATCAGAGTTATTCAGTATTTTCATTCATGTTATTTGAAAAATTGCTACGATTAAAAATTATATTTTAATTAAAATTTGACGTCTGTCAGTCATGTAGACAAAATTATGTATTTTTAGGGTAACATTCTGCTTTCTAAATTTGTACATTGTTCTTCGGAATTTTGAAGAAAGATCTCCTAGACTTATTCAATATAAGAGTTTGTAACACGCACATAAGCAAAACTCCTTTATACGAATTGCGTTTTTTTGCTTTATGTTAATTTTCAGCTTTATTTTTATTTTAAATTGTCTTCACAATAAATTAATAATATTTAAATTAATAAAGTTCAAAAATTATATAAGTGCCCTTTTGTTAATATTTTTATACTTAAACACAACACACTTGATTACTTATTATACTTGATTTTAATGTTCTAAAATAGTATAACAAAATGTTGTGTAATTGTATTTTAATTAAAATATTATAAATAATTATCATTGATTGATTTTTAACATTGATAAAAACCCGGTATTGGTTTTTACAAAGAAAATAAACTAAGAGAATTAAGATTGCTTTTGCGACAAATATAAAAATTATCTTCAATTATTTATTTCTATTTTTAAATTTGCTTACTATAATTAAAATATATTTTCTATATTTAATTTAACGTTTATTATATTTAATTTTAGACATTCTTATCAGTATTCTCTGTTCATTTCTGTCAATCTATCAATTAAATTTTCGTGTCTTTGTAATAAAATATTAAAGAATATTTAAAAATTTTATTAACTGTTATACAAATGAACTGTTTTTAAAATTTGTTACAATTTAGAATATTCAGAATTATAAAAAAGATTAAATTTCATTTTGAAAATTTTTTTGTACATAATTATGAATTTATTTCAGTAATGAAAAGCATGATGATCAAAAACTGGATGTTAACGCATATATTTATTTTCTTTGTTGCATCACTTGACGTTATGGGTTGTTATTAAAAAATCTTCTAATTTTTGGAATAAAATTATTTTGAATTTTCATTATACTCACCTCAAGTGATTCGACTAGCAGAATATAGGGGAAAATCTTAATAATTTTGATTGAATGTGCTTCTTGCGCTACATTGAATTCCTTATTGCAATATAAGCCTCTAGATACAAGAATAATGTAATCACAGTAATACTACAAATAAATATTCATTTTCAAGGTTATTAATCTGTATTTAATCAATTTAAGTTCATAAAACAATAAGAACCTCATACATGAATCATAATTTTGCATTTGCAATATTGTATTTCTTTTTTTGGTATTCCAGATACTACTTTGTTCTCATATACATATGCTAACTGCGCGTATTCTTCTTCACCCCACATACAATACATAAAATTCTCTGACATACTTGAGATTAAATTCTTTATTATAATTTCTTTTATCATTTATTATGACTGGTCTGCTTTTAAATTCATTATGTACTTAATTGAAAAAACTTTTTTTTCCTGTTACGCTTACGTACTTTTTATAATAAAAAAAAATGTATGGTTATAACAATTTGTGATATGAAATTCAACCGATTTCTAAAAGTGAAAATATACAAAATATCTACACACATATTTACAATTTTATACATTTATTTTTTTGTTTTTGTAAATAAACGCGCTTGTTTATTTACTTATCACATTATTTTCATGAGTACATACACACATACATACATATATTTTTCAAGAATGAAATTGAACTTTGATCAGAAAATTACAATGAACCTATAAAACTAATAAGATTTTAATACAAATTCAATGTGTTTAATATTAAAGACAAGAAAATTGATAATAACACAACATGCGGGAAGGGGTGGCAAATAAATAATAACGAAAATAGAAAATGAAAAATAAAATTCAATTGAAATATTTTGCATTCATAGTGCATTCATAAGAATCAAGATTATGTGATATGAAAATAATTTATTAATTATATAGAGCTAATTTTGTAATAATTAATTTTTTTTAAAATACGGAGCGAGTTGATTAGTTTAGGTATGGATAATGTGACTCAAACTAGACGGCCTTAATAAATGCAGATATGATGTCATTGTGCGTTCATATAAATCACGTCTTTGTAAGGAACCTGTTCTCGCCTTAACCAACAAGTTTTAAGTATGCATCTAATTCTAGTGTTATAAAAAATTTGAACAATACGTATATGAAGTTCACATAAAATTTATGAATAATATGGAAATACTTATGAAATTTACTGATCGGCTAGGCTCATTAAGTTTTATTTTATTCCAAATCACTTAATCTTAAATAATCCTTTCTTGACCAATTTAATTATGATATTTTATAATATTTCCTATATCAGATGTATGTCTATTCCAGTACTGTTTTAATCTATTCTAGTAATATATCGAATAAAGCAGACTTGAAATTAACCAACGTAATTAAAATCGCTTTAAAGTTGAAACAAGTAGAGTAATTTATTGAACATTCTCTATGTACATATATTTATGTAATTATTTTCTTGCACTCTCTTTTATGTATTAAAATTAAAATATATATGTACATATATTCCTTATTTAATCAACATGATTTATTTAAAGATACTTGGGGTAATTGCGTCTCAGGAAATTCAAAATTTATAAAGTGATGTATGAAAAAAGAAAAAGAAATTTTTATGCGTTATCAATTTGAAAAAGGTCTTAAAAATAAAATAGAACTCTCTGATAATTTAACTAATTAATTGAAATAGCAAATAAAAATTGTTCAATAGTTTAGTCTTTAGTCCTAAATAAAACTCAAGTACAAAATTTTAATAATGTTTTTTTATGATGGACTACAAAAATACCTTGAATTTTGTATTTAATATGAACTAATTAGATTAGGAAATATACATATAATACACACATATAAATATATGTGTGTAATATATAAATTATTTTCTTATATGGAAAAAAAAATAATAATTTTCTATTTAGATTCGCCAATTTGCCTACCGATAATCTAACTGAACAAATTTTATCACCACCACAAAACAAATATAATTGGATGATGGCATATAATAATGTGAAATTATGCAATGTACTTTTTGCTCGAGAATTAGCAAAGGTGAGATTTAATATATGTATGTACATTACTTTTTTTTCAGATTTAATTTGTAGCAGCAAATTATATTTTCATTTATAAAATAAATGGTTATTTATCTACATGGCTATATGTTGTGCATTGGTACATATTCATTAAATGCAAAATAGAATATAAAAATTATATTCTTTGAAGTAAAAATATTTATTTTACAACCAGAACACGTTTAAGAAATTTGTTAAATTAAATGCGCACCAGTGTAATATACATTATGTATTCCTATATATATACATGTATACATATTACAGATATTTATCTTTATATTATTATGCCTATTATTCATTGCGTTTAAAACTGCCACTACCACTTCTGAAAATTTATTAAAAAATGAGAAAGACAAATGATAAATAATAATTCTCCTATCATTTAATAAATATTTATAAATTCATACGTATAACAATCACTATAAAAACCTAGAAACGGAATGCAACTCTATAAACTATATTAAAAAAAATTAATAATTTTTCTATTTTTGCATTTTCCTCTGACTTCAAAAATAGCAAAAATGTTCAAAATTGAGTAAAATCGATGTTATAAAAAAATCGATCAATTTAATTTCCTTTATGATTCAATATCTTCATTTGTGATTCAAAATTCCACAAAATTGAAAGAGTACACACTCACTGATTATGCAGACCCCTGGTCAGTTACTTATTTTCATAGCTCTTCGATTATATGATAAGAATAGTTATCATACAATCGAAGATGTTCTTTTCCGGAAATGTATCCATCTTCGTTATTTATAGCACTAAATAATGTTTTTCCTTTCTTTTAATTTCAGAGATTACAAAATCGATTTATTTCAGTTTTTGTCTTACATCCTGGTAATATGGTTTCAAGTGATTTAGCAAGAAATTGGTGGTTAATGCGAATTTTATTTGCTATTGTTCGCCCGTTCACAAAATCTTTAGTAAGTAGAATTTGAAAAAAATATTGATTCTTTAATGCAGTATTCATTTTTTTAATATTAACCAAAATTTCAATTTTATTATTATTCTTAACAGGAACAAGCCTCAAGTACAACTGTATATTGCGCAACAGCTACTGAATTATTTGGTTTAACTGGATTATATTTTAATAATTGCTTTTTCTGTGAACCAAGTAAATTAGCACAAAACGATAATTTAGCAGAACAATTGTGGACATTAAGTGAAACAATTTGTAATAGAATTATAAATGAAAAAGTTAATGAAGGCACTTTTTAATTTTTGATACTTCTAATAATTATTTATACATATATGTATGTACTTTTATTTGCTTTCAATATATTTTAAAATAACTTTTGTTATTTAAATTCTGGTGTCGTGTACTTTAATATTGAATTAATAATTTCTAAGTTTTTCCAACAATTTAGCGTTTTATTAAAAATCAGACACTCTACCTTTTCTTTCCCAATCGCCATATCTTGTAGGTTCAGGTCCTGCAGGTCCTCCTTTTTCGCCTATTGGAAGACAAAAAATTTTGTACAAAATGATTTTTTTTAATAATAGATATAGAATAATTTACCAGTGTTTGGATTTGTATTATTTGGCCAAGGCTTTAAAGGTTCTTTTTCTTGATATGGATGCTTGCCTTCTAATTCATCTAATTTTCCTATAGGAGTTTTTTCTCTAATTTTCTTTTGAAATTCAATCATTCTGGGACTTAATGGTTTATCAGCCTTGGCCTTTGGTTCCTTTTCTGTTGATGATTTTTCATTGCTTCCTTTTTTTGTACAATAAGTCGCTGTCATGAAATTAATAAATATTTTTTTAAGTTTTGGTATACATGAATAATCTGAACATGTTATTGAATTTACATGGTAGTTTATTAGCCTAATAGTTACTACATACAAATGCTTAAAAATTGCCGGTAAGAAGCTATTTACTATTTACATTAAAATTTTTGGGATAATTTTGTATTTTTCCGATTTGCAATAGTCATTTGGAAGTAATTTACCTTGACATTCATTTACGAATGCATATGTACATGTACAATTATTTTCATATTCATTTATACGTATATTATATGCATAAGTAGAATGCAAGGGTAGGATATTATGTTATTTTCTTATTTTCCCCCGCTATTCACTATAAGTGTATGCAGAAAAAAAAACACATTATTCTCAGCCTTTTAGCTAATTATTCCATTTTAATTACCTATTAACTTATCGTTATAGAATTTTAATTAATTTCTAAGTCCCAAATAATTTCTAAGTACATATTATTATAAGTAATGTAAGTAAATATTTACCCTGTATTTTAATGGAAGGTAACAATTTTATTTGTTGATACAAAATTAATCGTAAGTTATTCATTTTAAAATATTCAAACTTTTTATTCTCTCAAATAACTTTTTTTGAATTTAAATAATTGTAAATTAAGCAAATTCGACTTGAAGTTGCAAACTCTTAAGTTTTTAATTTTATAACAAAATATTTATTTTTATTATGATATGAAATTAGTATATGACATTTCATTTAAAATGAAAACAAAAATCAGCTGACATTTTTGAGGTTATAACTACGCTGTTATGTAGCTTAAAAAATTTAATAACATAATAGAGCAACAATACTACTAAGCTACAATTACTGTTTATGAAAATTATGTAGGTATGCTATTTAATATTATGTATATAAATATATATGTACGTAGTTTGTTTGTAACCGTTATACATTTTAACGGCTAATATTATTTTATGATAAGTTTATATAAAATTTCTAATAAAAAAAAACAAAGCAGTATGTACATGTACTGTACAGAGACGTGTTTATTGCGTTGCACATACGTAAACACGTTTCAATAAATTACTTGGGTATATTATACATTTTTAAGCAACATTATGTACATACAAACATATATTATATGTACATATATACACTTAAAATTGGATTAAATTACAAAACTTTCTTAATTTTTTATATTAAAGATACTTTAGCATTTACATATAATATATTATACATATGATTATCAACAATTTTTAGAAGGTCAAGGTCAAAAAATAAATTACATAATTACAATATTATAATTTCGCAAGCTCATCTACATAAGTATATAGGGACTGACATAATACCTGCATTTTAAGTTAAATGATGTCTAAATTGCAGTATTATGCAACCAACCGCATTGTGTTGTAGTGGTTCTAAGTTGCGTGTAACATAATCTTATGGTTAGAATTATATGTTGCAAAAAAAAATTAAAAACAAAAATGTGTATGTACATATGTATTAAGAATATTCTTTGTATTATTTTTAAACAGGTATAATTTGCAAATTATAACATTGCATTTATAAACACATAGGCGCTTAAAAGTGATTTGTTTTTTATTATGTTTTGAATTTAAATTGCTACAAAAAAATTTTGTTTACAAAAATTGTAGTAAACCTGCTAGTGCTACTCAAAACAAAAAAAAAGCTTTAATTATTGAATGCTAGTAAGCAGTGTTGTTTACAATAATTGCGATAATTGTGATATTTTTTCTTATAAGTATAGAATGTATGTATGTATGTATGTATGTACACTAATAAAATGCTGGTTAACAAATTATCAAAACTTGTATAGAAAAATTTTGTATTTTGCAAATACATATTGTATGTATGCATGTATGTAAGTATTAATTTGCCGCTTTTTGTTTTGTTTATATTTTTAAATCATAAGTTCAATAACCTAATAAAATATTATTAAAATAATGCCGGGGTTATATTTTTTTGTATTATATGTGAGTATGTATGTAAACTCATTTATAAATAGTTAAATTTTTGCATATACATAGTTTTTATACATGTATAAATTCTCTTTTAAATTTACAAAATAACATAATATTTATGTTAATAATATGCATTTTTATAGTATTTTATCGTATTATATTTTTGTTGATAGTTTACACGTTGAACATTATAAAATTCTTGTGGCGTTTGTAAGATAAAATTAAAAATCGCCGACTAAATAATTTAAAAACTTAATGGAACTATTAAAATATTAATAATTCTCACAAAAAAATTTAATTTTTCTAACAACTCTCCAAATTTATACCGATCAATGCGGTAAAATTTTCACAATCACTTCTTACATCACAAAAGTCAGCTGCTCGCTGCTCCAAACTGTACTTATGTATGTATGTAATTTATATGTACCCGAAATTAATTGTCGCAATTGTACTTTTTAAAAAAATCTGATTAGAATTAAGAATCGAGTAATTTCTATTATTTTCTGTCAGACAAAATTGGATGTCAAACAAGGTTTATATGTATATGTAAGTATACGACTTTCATTAGATTTAGATTAAGTCGTAGATTATGTAGCAGTAAAAAAGGTTAAAAAATACTAAATAAAAACACTGTTACCTAAAAATTGTAATGGAATAAATTTATATTAATAATATTTTTCGCTATAATTTTTTTTATATAATTCCTATAAGAGGGAACATAAAAAAAAGCAAAAAGAAATCAAAAAATGTTAAAAATCTAAAAATAACATTTTTTCAAATAGGTTTTTTTTTTCTATATTATTTACATAAGTATGTGTGTTGCATTTTTCCGGTCAACATTTTTCTTATTTACAATATCATTTGCTTTCATACATATATGTAAGTATGTATAAATGTTCAGATATATTTTAGACCCCGTATTATGAAGTTTTTTATGTAGGTTTATTATAGTTTTGTTGTTTTATTTGTTATGCATGAAGAAGACTGTACAAAGAGCAAAAAATTTCAATATGTAAAAAATAATATCATACTTTTTGCACGTGATTCTTGTTTAATAAATATGTACATATGTATATGAGTGTGTGTATAGGCATATTTTTCTACCTTTGTAGAATTCAACTTTTTACACCATTATTATTGTAACACAATATTTTATTCAATAAAATATTATTATATAGTGTATATACATATATATTCAAATATTGCAATAAGCCCATATTTTATTTACACAAATTTTCGCTTTCCCTATATTATATTTATATTTACTTACATACATTGTTATATAAAATTATTTTGTCTATAAAATTTATACATACTTACATACATATGTATATCATAACAGGTACATACGTATTTCTTGAATTTTTAAAAATTGCAATAGGAAAACAAGAAATTATTTTTCCTACTTATACGTATCGAATTTAAACGCACATACAGTGGAATCCAAAACTTGATCAACTGCAATTAATTTGCCAAAGAAAGCTTCGAATATTTGAAAATGCTATAAATTTATAGGCATCGTCACAATAATTTTTACTAATATACTGCAGTATATTTTATCAAATTTTGTGTAATTAACTTTTTCTAAAATGAATATTGCCGACGTTAAACAGTGATTAATGCAATTTAACTTATTAACATATAGAAACACTGTTTTGACTACATTTTATTATAAACACGGGACAACGTATTTTCTTACGAATAAATCACAATTTATTTCAATAATTTTATATGCATTTAAAATAACAAAACTCTGACAAATAAATTTACGTTAAGTGGATGGATTTGAATATGAGCGAGAATTATAAATTTATTTAATTTTTCCAACTAAACCAAAGTAAATATTTTACTTTATTTAAATGAAAGCTTATAATGAAATCATATGCATCTCACCCACTCTTTATTTAAAATCACTAAATATAATATGTATGTATGTACAGAAAAACGAGAAGAAAAACAATTAAAATAATTAAAATAAATACGATCACGTGCCTTTTCACGTATACGAGTACATGTAATTAAAAAGAAGCAAGGGGTTATACTTATTTTTGCAATTCAATAATATTCTTTAATAAAAAATTTTTTATTTTAGAAAATTAAAATTTTTTAAAAATAACGGTATAAATAAATGTAAAAATAAATGTTATATCCATTTGTACATAATAAAAATTTCCGCAAGTACATGGACTCATAAGTTAGTTTCATAACTCATGAAACTCAATAACTCATAAGTTAGTTTCAAAGTCTACATAAAATATTGCAAAATTTGCAATTACTCATTTAAAATTTGAAGGGTTCAACAAAAACTTTTTTCATTGAGATATCAAGTTAGTTTAGAAATTAGTACAGAATGGTTAAACAATTAGTTACCAAAATAATTTTACTTTTCTCAAATTGAAATTCTAGAATTTACAGTTGAATTTGTTCAAAGTAGTGTTTTGCAGTCTATTCACGTTTGTATAACATGTCTTTGGTTGAAAAATTCTTATGAGTTGCTGTAACATACTACTAGTTACGGTATTTATGCTACCAAAAATGGAAGTTTTCTAGAGTTAGTAAGCATGTTATATTAAGAATAAGTGTCTCTGATTGCCAAATTCTCTTTGATTGAGTCTTAATCTGCAAATTTGCTAGGTTTCACTATTCACGATTAGTTGATAATATTTTCTTATTAAAATTTTCTTCTAAGCTCTTAAAATTTTTTATGGTATAGGAAAAGAAAAACAAGTTTTTTTTTTTAATTTTTAAATGTATTTTTATTTTTTTTTTATTTTTTTTTTTAATTTTTGTTTTTGATTAATACTAACATAAAAGAACATTTTAACAGTAAATAATTTTTATTTTTCGTTATATAAACTACAAACTACATATGTACTAAATTTGTAAGACTACGAAATTTTCTCTTTTTTTCTTTTCTACATTTTTTCAAAGGTTAGGTGTGCACATAGTGCACAATCTTATAAAATAATATCTAGAATTCAAAAAATTTGTAATAATAACACTATCCTTATATAATTTTATTATACATTTTTGATTATAATTTTAAATTATAAATCAATCAAAAATAAAAACTGGATAATAAAAGTGCAAAATATTAATAAAATCAAAAAAAAAAAAAATTTTTTTTTAAATAATTTTTTTTTTTAAATTATTAAATAAATTTATAATAATATTATATAATACTATTTATATATTATAGTATATACATATTATATATAACTACATACATATATATATATATTAATTTTTAAAAATCGGAACATCTACCCTTTCTTTCCCAATCACCATATCTAGTTGGTTCTGGTCCAGTTGGTCCACCACATTCACCAGTATATGGATTTAAACTTTTTGGCCATGGTTTAAATGGATCATTATCTTTATTACGTTGTGATGACATATAATTTTTAAATCTAGTTAATAGACTCTTTTCATTTACAGAATAATTTAAATGTAATGATGTAAATGCAGCTGGATCATATTTATTTTTAGCTGTAACATCAAAATTAGCTGTTGTAGCATAACAAGTAGATGCTGTAAAAAATAAGAAAAATAAAATAATAAAAATATATGAAAAAAGAGAAATTATATATGTGTATATATACAATATACTTTTGTATATATGTATGTAAAGCAAATTGAATTAAAATTTAAAACTTGTATACTACTATAACTCCTATATTTGACATCAAAAATTTATTACAAATTTAATTTAAAAAAATAAATTTTTTTAAATCAAGAATTTTTTTCTTTCTTTCCTAATATAAACACTCGCATATAACATACATACATTCAACATACTTATATATTATGTATAACAAATTGAAATTGATAAAATTAAAAAAGTATGCAATATCAAACTAAATACAAAATATGCGGTGTATAACAGTTGATCGTGGTAAAAGAGGTCAATAATATGATTACGAAAAAACAAAAACAAAAAAAAATATAATTAATAATAATAAGAATTTTTTGTATTAAGTACGTTCATATGTACATACATATGTATATATTTACATGTATGAAACATACATACACACATACTTGTACCCATTTCATTTGTCATTTTTATATGAAATTTGTTATACTTATTATCTGCGTTGATTTCAATTTAAATTGAGTTTTTGATTTGAATTGATTTTGTAATTAAAATTTTATTACGCTTCTTACATACATATGAATTTCTAAATATAATTATGTATGTATGTATGCATTTACACGATATTGAAAAATAATTAAAACTAGGTATAGAAAATAGTTTTTTTAAATAACTATAAATTTGTCGTATAAAATTGTAATATTGATTTGTAAATAAAATTTTGTAAAAAAAATGTAAACTAGTTGTAAAATTGAATTATTAATTTTAATATTTTAATTTTAAAAAGAGAAAATTTCCAAAATGAACAGGTATCTGAATGTACATATGTATGTAAAGCTATCAAATTTATCAATACTGAAATAACGGTACTTGAATTTTAATTCAATCCTGTTTGGAATAAAATAACTATGTATATGTTTATTATATTTAATTTAATTAAAATTTTTGATTTCCTCCTCTATTTTGAAAGAAAAATTTTTGAGAAAATTTGAAAAGGAAATTTTTTTTTGTATATATTTTAATTTATTATTATTATTTATTAATTAATTAATCAAAAATTTTTTTATAATATTATAGAAGGTGTGTTTTGGGAAATTCACATTTAAAAGTATTTTATGAATTTAAAATAATTAAATTTAAGAAAAATAGAGGCCTTTAAAAATTTAAATAAAATATTTTATGAATTTTTTGCAAAATTCATATTTTTATGAATTTCATTTTTAAATTTTTTTCTAATATTTTAATAAATTTATTTAATATTTTAAAATAATAAATTTGTTTTCAATTAGAAATCAATTAAATATTTTAATATTTAAGAAATTAATTTTAAAGTCTACATTAAATTAATAAAAAAATATTTTCGCTAAATTTGAATTTGAAATTAAATGAAATTAAAATTTTCAAAATTACCTTGTTTTGTTACTTGTGAAATAATTCTTGTTTTTGAAGCGGCTCCTTGCATTATATTACTCATTTTGAATGAATTTGGAACTTTTTCTGTATTTATTAAAAATTAAAATAATTCAAAATTATTCTTACAATATTATTATTGTGAAATTAAAAAAAAAAATCTTCTTCCTTTAAATCAAATGTTTTTATTTTTATTTTTAAGAAAGTTGTACAACTTAATTGTTTTATTTTCAACAAAAGTCTTCTTCAAAATCTTTATGATTTCTTTAATTTTAAAATAATTTTCTTTATGTTTTTCAATTCAATCAATTTATTTTTTAATTAAATAAATTTTAACAAAATTCTCAATTTTTTTTTTTATAAGTTTTGCAAAATATTTTTTTTTTTTTTTTCAAATTTTAAAAAAACAATGACTTTCTCGTTTGATTGTTAAACTTTGAATGAATTTTATTTAAGCTGATGCTATAAATGTAAACTCGCCTTTGAATAAAAAAATAAAATAATAAAATATATAAAAAAATATAAATAAATAAAATTTATATAAGCAAGAAGTGTGGAATAAATTTTTTTGTGTTTTTTAGTTTTTTTTTTTAAATTATAATGTGCAAATAATATGCATAGGTATAGTACACTAATACACATACAAAAATTTAGTACGTATACATACACTTAGTACAATTTAAAAATATATTTTATTCTATATAATATGTTATAGATAGGGTGAATATAATATTGTTTACTATCAATAATAATAACAGCTACATACAATACAACATAAGTATTTAAGTGTTAAGTATTATAAGGTAAGACATTGTAGGCAGCATATAAGAGGATAAATAGAATGACATAAAAGAAAATAATATTAAATTGCGTTAAAAAGGGAGATAAACAAAAACACTAATAATAATATTAGAGCTATGTTCAATGATAAAGAATTATGTTCGTTTGCAATAATAAAGAATTGGTGATGGTGTATGTCTGCATGTTGGGTATGTAATATACTTTATCCCTTTATTAAACTGGTTTTATGAATACAAAATAAATATTTACACTACATTTAAGTATGTAAAAATTGAGTAGAATAGCAATAAGAAGACAAAATCTAAAATAATATAGGAATTTCATATCGTATTTTGTAAAGGCAATAAAAATACATGCAATTTTAATAAGAATATTATGTCTTAATTCAAAAAATTAAGAAGATTCCTATAGAGAAATTAAAGAATGGAATTTAATTAAGAAATAATTGAAGTCAAGAAGATTTAAAATTTATGTTTTTAATAAAAAAATATCACCAATACTATATTAATTTAATATACACATAATGTCAAAATTTTGAAAGAAAACTAAGCAACAGATAATAACGTGACGTAATACGTTGCAGCCAAGCATAGTAATGCATAGCAGACCAATAAAATATTTAATTATTTTGGTGAAATTGTTTTTCATTTCTCTTTTATTTTTGATTTTATTTTTGATTTTCTTTTTAATATTATAAAGCACGTATGTATGTTTGTACATACGTTTTATGTTTATCTTTAATACAAATAAAAGTATAAATTGCTTTCTATGTGTAAATAAATGTGTAAATTACTTTTGTTTACAGTTTACACGTCATTCGTATTATGATTTATTTGTTTGTATATGTGTACAACTTTTATCCAAATTTTATGGTTTCCTGCAAGAATTTACAATTTCATTTTTTTTTTCTATGGATTTTTGCATACATACATAAATACATATACATATATATATATATATATATATATATATAGCTTAGCATAGTTTATAGTACGTTCAAAACATCTGTGCGATATCTAGTTCTCATGATCCATATTATTTTCTAATATAGCAGGTATGTTACTGGTTAGAATTTAGGTTTTGACATAAAATTGACGTTAAATTTAATTTTGAATATTAGTATGAATACGTTTTTGTAAAATATGCGGAATGATTTATGTTTAAAAATGACGCTCAATTTGTCTTTTTTTTGCTTACATTTAGAGTATGCATTGAAATTTTACGTCATTTATAATCGTCAAATAATTCATTTTGCAATCATTTTTACAATTGTAATAAACATACTAAATTACTTTAATATTAATTTTTACACTTCCTACATTAATTTTTGACGTCAATATTATTCATACTTATTACATAGTACATTCTTTGTCTTCATTTATTTGTATTTGTGTAATATCTCGTAGTAGGAAGGCTTAAACCATACATTTTTCTTTATTGTTATCATATTATTGCAAATATGTTTGTTTATTTTTTTTTTGCATTTTTTTATTATTAAGCCGGTTCGCGTTATAATAAAAGCTTTTCTTGTATTTTTCATTTTATTTTTCTCTATCGATTGAATTATGAAAGTCCAAAGTCTATAATTTCAATTTGTTATATTTGTGTTTTTGTTGCATATATTTAATTATGTATGTATGTATGTTATACAGTTAAATATTAAACATACATATACTATGGCAGTAATATTTGGTTGTGTTTGTACAAATGAAAATTATATGGAAAAAGCGATACGGGATAAATACATCATTCAATAAAAAAGTGGATGCGTGATAATTATAATGGAGCTATAAAAAAAGCACGTTAGGTATCTCACGTGCACATGAAAATTCCAATAAAATGAACTAATATGAATATTTTATAAGGTCAAAAAGAGACTAAAAGACATAGGTTGAAATTTAATGTTGTAGTGTAAATTGCGGAATTTTTGATAGGTGTATGAAATTTTTAAGTAATTTGTGTGATTCAATTTTATTTTATCTTTATAATTGATAATTTTTTTTTGATGAGTTGGAAATTTTTGTTTGGTAGATATATTTTATTAGTACGATAATTTGATTTGATTTAAAATTTATTGAGAAATTTTGAAAGTTATCACGACCTGTCACATGTTCATGCGTTTATCAAACACCTTATATGTGGATGCGGTTTTTTAATATTAATTGATATAAGTTGTCAAATTTGACGTAAAATAAAAATCATTTATTGAAATTTGTATAATTATAAAATGATTTTAATGTTTTAACAACTACACAAATAAATTATTTTTTACGCATTCAAGCATATTTATCAAAATATTTGGTGTTGACAATTGAGAAAACGATTTTATTTTATATAAAGGTCATTTTTGATTTTGATTTTGAATATGTTTAATGCTTAAGTATGTATTGAAATAAAACTTTTTCAACTACGTTATATTTGGAAATAATATTGAAAAACATGTGTCATGTGCTTTATTATCCATGATGACGTTTTCATTTTACGATATGGAAAACACCTGCACCATTATGAATCATATTTTTAATGTTATCATTGAATTTTTAACTTTTCAATTTAAAACGTTTCTAATTTTCTTAATTTACCTTTTATTGTAAAAGTATGTACATATATACTTTAATTGGGGTTATTTTAAAACAATATATGCAAAATATTAATTATAAGTCGACCTTTTGTTTATATAAATATGGCAGAGTAAAATGAACTTTATATAGAATTATCTGATGTTTGTCACGTCGTCATGTTTGTATTCTACATTCAGTGCACCTCACGTACACATATTGAAATTTAAGGAGTATATTACTGTGTTGAATAAGTGAAAATTTTGTATTATGAATAAAGGGAACGGAGAAAAGGAGGAGATGCGATGACAATTAAAGTTGAAATTGAAAAATTTATTTTATTTTTTTTTTTTTCGTTCTTATTTGATTTTCTGTTTTAAATGGAACATTTTTGTTAATTTTTTTTTTGCAATTTTTTGATTTTAAAGTGGTTAATTATATTATATATGTGGATATTACATAAGTATAATGTGTATGTTTTTTTCGTAAAATGTGGTAAAGTATTATAGTTTAAGCCCGAGAATATTTCCATTTGAGAAAAATTTTTGCAAAAATTTGTCTCAACAACAAATAATTAAAAGAGTAATACTGTAAAGTACTACATAAATACACATGTATATACACACATATACTTATAATGTTGTATAATTCGAACCTATATACACGAAACATTTATGACATTGAAAATTTGGCAGGAAGTTTTCAATTAAAATATAGAAAGTAATAACATTATTGCCAATAATATAGAGATAAGATTAAATAGTTGCATGAAATATTTTTTTTATTGAATTCAATTTAATCAAATTCGATTATATTTTACTTATTGGGTAACTTTTTAAAATTTCGTGATGTATAAAATTTATTAATAAATTCAACTTTAAAATTATTTTTAAATATGTGTATATGAATTAGAGAGTTGAAATCAAAATTAATTTTCAATAAGAAATTTTTAAATTAATTCATTTTTATTTTTCATTGCGTTTTTTCTTTTGATTTTAAGTAGCGTATTTACATAATTTCCTTGTTTTGGTATATAGACAAGGTTCCTAATAAGACATTCAAATATTTTTCAGTGGAAAATTTTTATTTTTTGACAAAATCAACAAAACTTTAAAAATCTTTCTATCAAAACTTCAAACACAAAAATTTCTCAAAATTTAAAAATATATCTCAATTTAAATATTTATATTCGAATAAAAAACCATCTATTAACGGTATTTAATAACGTTCTCGTATAGTGTAATTCAAGGGGATATTTTTCCAAATTTCCCTTTTTGTGCCACTTGTTTCAATTTTCTAAGATTTTCCTTATAGAAAAATCAAGCTTTGAAATGAAACTCTTTACAAAAAAAACAAAAAATGGAACGAAATGGAAAAAGAAATAAAGGAATGTGAAAATTTTTATTCTGTTTTGTTTTCATTTCGTTTCATTTCAATATCTCATTTATAATGTTTTCTTAAATTTTCAATGTAAATTTAAATGATGGTTTTAAAAAAACAACCACACTGTAATCAAATATAATTCAATTTTAAATTGCTCATATTAGTGTAACTATTACCCGTTTGATGTCGCTACTTTATATACATATTAAAAATTGTATAAAGTGGTAATGAATTTTGATTAAATTTAAATTTTTTGATTTTGTAATTAAAATTTAGATTTTTTCTTTGAAAATTTTAAAAATATTGTGTTCATGAGGCACCTATAATTTTTTTTAGTATATTAATTTTCCATTCCTATAAAATCAAATTATAATTATCGAAATTTACAATTGTTTCAAACATCAGAATTTCCCATAAAATTTGAAATTGTATTAAACTTTTTCTAAAAAAAATAGAAAAGAATTTATTTTTATATTTCATATTAAATTCTTAGTTTATATTGAAATAAAAACGCATTCTACAGCAATTTTCGTTAATAATAATCAAATTTATTTTTCATTAAATTAACTTTTCGAAGCTGCAAACACTATACATTTATATTAATTTCGTACAATAGTACATTTATATTAATTTCGAAAAAATTTAAGAATATTCAATTTTGACAAAAATTTCTTAAAAAACAAAAACAAACTCGTCAAACAAAACAAAAAATTTACAATTATAACAAATTAAGTGCATATTATACAATTTATATGCAAGTATAGTATATACATATATACAAAACCACACGTTTATGTATATAGTTGTTTTAAAAAAAAATAAGATAAATTAGCCACCGAATTAGCAATTTGGAAGTACTCCTATTAATAATTCGCAATATTAAAAGGTGTAACTAACTTTGACGGCTAAAATATTTTAATTTCTTCATTATATCCTTAATTGGCATATTGTGCAATTCTAGTGCGGAAATGATCATTTACTGCTTGAAGAACTTCTGGATTTATTGGTCCATCACCAGGATAAACGCAACCAATTTTATGAATTTTAATTTGTTTATTACCAATATTTTGTACATCATCACCTAAATTTTGGCAATCAGCTTGTATAAATTCATAACTAAAATTAGAAAAAAGTATTGTTTTTTACTTAATGGATAAGGTTTATTATAAGAAGACTAAAACATAATGTATAGTTAGATTTGTTTAAAAAATATAGAAAATGAGTATTCGCACTTAGCAACACTTGCATACAAACCCACTTGTCACTTGTGAAGAAAACATGAATTCAGTAAATTTTTTGCTTATAAAATAATTTTTTTTAGCTACTGAAATAATTCTTATTAATCGATGAAAATTTTTTAATGCGTGTTGCGAACAATTTAAATAATAACATTAAGACAATCAAAAAATTTTATTATTTCTAATTACTATGATTGTTAATAATTAGTAATTTTTACATAAGTAAAATGAAAAGCCATAAATGCCATTTAGATCTTCAATATTAAACAATTTGGCACTTTTTTATTTCTAAAACGTACTAAATTTGAACAAACCAATATTTTATTATTAAAACCACACAATTAATTTTTATATTTTTTAAATTGATACTTACTTTTTACCTTCTAATGGATTCACTGATGTTTCATATGATTTAGATTTTTCAATTTTAATATTTGGTCTTTGAATACCTTGTGTTGATGCAGGTTGTATTTCATCAGATGGCTTATTATAATCATATGCAGGTGCAGCAATTGTAAAACTCAATGTAATAGTTATAATTGCTACAACTACTAATAAGTATTTCATCTTGAACTTGAATTAGTTTTATCAATTTAATAAATGAAAATAAAATTAATAAAAAAAAAAGGTGTGTCGCTTTTGATTTGAATATTCTCAATAAAATCTCAAACTGACTGAATTTACATCTTATTTGGCGATTCTATTAAATATTAGAAGCTTAAAACATATTCGATATTATTAAACAATAGCGTTGTGTATTCTTAAAGGAGTGGGGATAAAATATGTAATATTCTTGCTTATTCAAAAATATTTTAATATAATTGTACCAGGTTTTTAGTTATCTAATCCTGGTGAAATTTATATATATATAAAATAATAAAAATTATTTAAGAAGTATATAGTATAGATTCTTAAGATAAAATGAATGTAACTACAAATAATGAGTTTTTTTCGTGTCATTTCTTTAAACAGGAGTAACCAATCTATATTCAATATGATTAAAAAATTTTAATCGACTAATAGATAAATAGATGATAATAAGAACGTGTGGAAACAAATCATAAAAGTTTCCGACTACAATAAAAATGCAACCACTTTTGTCTTGTTTCTTAAGAACCTAAAAATGAATTTTGCATTATAAATTTAAGTGTAAATAAAATATTATATCTTCAAAATCCAAGCAGGTACACATTTTTCCAATACATAACTAGGGGATACTCTAATGTCTTATATATGTATCCTTGCAAAAGCTTTTATTTCCAAATGGTTACCGAAATTCGCCTCAATAAATTCAAAATATAAACGTTCTGCACTCCTTATATTTAATTATGGAAGGTACTGCATCTTCAATGTAATCCTTTAAACATAAATCAGTTTTTACATTCACACTATGTATTTTATCTTATTTAATTCCAAAATTATTATTAAAAATGTAGAAGGTTACAATTCATTTGCTAAAATTAAATATTAACTTTAAATTAAATTTATTATAGAAATAATATCAAACCGTTTACTTAAAAATATACAATATAATGACATTGTTGACAGAATTTTAAATTCATTCAGAATAAATTTTTTTTGATATATCGTAAAATATTTTTGTACGATATTAAACATAAAGCATTTACCAAAATGAAAATCTAACGTCAACTTGACCTATTATTTATTTAGGCGATATGTACTAAATAAATTAAATTGAAATTAAATGCGCATTTAGCTAGACGACCATAATATCATGAATTGTACGCTAAACAATTCACAATTTTTAAAATAATACAAACTGAATTAAATTATTGTGCTGTAATCAAAAATAAATGATAAAAAATCTCTTGCATATTATATTAATAATTTTATCGAAATTTCATGAATTTCATAAAATTTTTATTTACTAGAACAACATATTTTAAAAAATCTGTCAAATATTTTTTTACATGCATATTACATACAATTCAAAAATTACAATCATTTCAAATATTACCACATACTTTGAAAAGATCATAAAATTCACAATATGCACCACGTTCTATATGGCATACATATATAAAAACAATAAATAGATATTGTTAGCGTTTAAACTTGCATCGTAAATCCTGTTCTGGCAACATATACCCCTAAAAGGCAAACTAAAAATAATAAAAATAATAATTTTCTACATTTTATTATTTTTTGTTGGTATTTTAACACGTTTTTTTTATTGAAAATAATCACGTGAATTATTGAATTCTATATACATATACGATAATATAAAAATTATTTATTTCCGCTTTTACGATCTTATTAATAATATTATAAAAGTTGCCATAAAAGTTAAAATAGAAAAATAGCGAAAAAAAAACAAAAACGTTGAAAGTTACTTTAGTTCTAGCGGATTGAAAACAAAAAGTTGTAATAGAAACAAAAAACAAAATAAATAACAAAAAGCAAGAAAAATAAATGTTACAGCAACAAAAACACTAATATTCAATGTTGTTGAATCAAAATCTAGCTATTCGATAAAAATTTTATGATTATATTGTTAAAATTTATGATGCTACTTCAAAAAAATATCAAATAAAAAATTTTGTTTGAATCTTTTGTATTAAAAATTATAGAATTTCTTATAAAAAAATAAAAAAAACAATAAGAAAAATATTCATAATCCGAATTTTTAATTAGATCTTCATAATTATAAAAAAAAAGCAACCTCTGAATCATTGTGTGTATATGGTAACAAAAATTCATTTGATATTCGGCAACATTTTCTATTCTTTTGATTTTTCAATAGAGATTTTTTGTATTATGATTTCCGAGCTTTGAATTTTCCGATCAATAAATTACTCCGGTAATTATGCAAAAAAAAAAATATAAAAATAAAAAAAAAATTCCTTTAGGAAAGAAGAGTTTTTATGATAACATTTGAAGACGAAAGTTTGACCTTAAAAAAATTCGGTAATTCTTTCAAGGCCAAAAAAAAATTTTCAATCAGAGGCGGCCAAATACAAAAAGGTGTGATTTTAATGTAGTGTAATTTATGAGCCTTTATTGTAATTTTATTAATTAGCCGCCTTTTTTAATTTGCCGAATATAATATTTTTAATTTAAATAATATTCTTAAAATAATTTTGTTCTAAGTATATTTTTGCATGAAATTAAAAAAAAAATTATAAGATTTTTAAAAATAATAATTTTTGAAAAAACTATTCCTGCTAGTATTCAAATCCTAAAAAATATGGGTACAGGTACTGAATACAGTGCTATGTATTATTATACATTATGTAGAACCAAAATTAATCGGTTCGGACATACGATATCACTTCTGATATACGTCAGTACGCAGTTTTTTTAAATTTGCTATAAACAATCCGTAAATTTTAGGTAGTACAAGTAATTAAAATTTATGGTAGATTTTAATGTCACTTTATGCTATGTTATGACATTTCAATTTTGAAATGTCGAAATTGACAACCTTACGAGATAATTTTTATGTAAATATGTATGTATGATTGATAAATAATTATTTAACAACAGAGCAGATTAAAATTAAAATAGGAACAGAACAAAATTAAACTAGGTTTATAGGTTTTTTTTTTTAAATAAGCCATATTTTTCCAAATTTTAAAATTAGAAAACAAAATTTGCATTATATGAGAACATAGTTGATTTGAATTTTTATTTTTAGAACAGATCGGTTACATAAAGTTCCAAAAATTAAAAAAGGAATTTCGAGTTCTTTTTTATTTTTATTTAAATATTTTGTGGTTATAAAAGCAATTTACATTTTTATATTATGTTGTTTTAATTAGACAAATCAATTTGTCAGTTTTACGACTTTTCGGCAAAGATTATAGACAATCAATTTAAATGTAAATATTTAATACACATTTTGATACATAGGTGGCTAAATGTAAATTCTTGATATAGAAATTATATAATAATCAAATTATGGCAAAAGAATTCCATAGAACATAAAATTTATATTTATTATTGAAATAGTGAAATGGAATTTTAAATATGTTCAGATTATAAATTTTATTACTTTTTTTTATGTTTAAAACAAATTTAAAAATAGAATTATACTCAAAGGTTTAAAATATGGAGAATAAAACGAGAATACTTTCATTTTTGTTAAATACGTCAAATAAAGAAGCCGAAAGGGTGCTTTTAGCGAATAATTTAACAGTTACTTTGATGTAAAAATTCTTTGACAAAAAAAAATAATATAACTATTTTTTTTAAACAGGAGAGGATGAATGTTAATCAGAAGAGGAATTAATTCAAATATTTTCCGATTAAAGAGAAATTATTAATTGAGAAAATCACTTAAAGAAACGACATTTCAGTGAAGTTGAAATGCGATTGCACCGCTTATATTATTATTAGGGTAAATTTTGTAATTGAGCGGATGTTTATATTATGCGTTGACGGATATTGGAAAATTTGTTTAAAATATTTGAATATTTCGATTAAGAATTATTTATAAAGCATTCTAAATCTTTTTTTCGTATAACAAAGTGAAGAACCTACGTCAATATATGACATATTTTTATAGTTTTCAAGTTTATATTGTTTAAGAATTCATAAACTTTTACAAAAACACATCGTAGTTTCTTATTACAAGGTTGCGCGACCTACATAGCTAATTTGTTTTTAATTTTAATTTTCAATATCAAGAATTGATCTATGTAGCATTGTGTTATTAAAAATTTTGCTCTCTAAATTTCTAACTCCAACTGGTGATAATAAATTGAATAATTTTAATCTTTATTGTATATATATATATTTGTTATTCATTATTAAATAATATTTTTAGAATTATTAAATATGTAAATTTTGGCAAAAAATATAAAAAACCAAAAAAAAAAAAAACGGAATAAAAAATAGAATTTTGAAATTTTTTTTTTTCATATCCGTATACGATCATATTATTATTATTTTGGTTATCAATCATTTCAAATGACGTGAATATTTTTTATTATCAAAAATAACTAAAAATATTTTAAATATTTTTATTTCTTTCTCATATTACACAATATTTTGATTTTATTTTATTACTTTAAAATTTTTTTTATAATCGATTTTCTAATAATTTCTGAAAATTATTATTTTTTAAGATCTTTAAAAATTTGTTCTAAATACGAAATAAATTTTTTAATAGTGTTTATTTTTTAAATAAATAAAGTTATCTTGAAATTGTGAATAAACTTCGCAAGTATGATCACCCCTATTGAGCCTAAAATTTTTTTGAAGTTTGCGCTACGTTTGCTTTCTTGGCAAGACTCCATCCTTATGGACCACATGCTCAAAATGTTTGACTTACCTATAGTTAATAAACTATTTGGTGTTAGCAGTCAGGCGTATAAGCCATTTGAAGATTTAAGACGGTTTCATCAAGATAAATTTTTAATAGACTTAAATCTTAATATCTGAAGATCAAAATTTTTTGAAAATCATTTAGAAATTACTTAATGGAAACTTTATTATATTAGGATTTCTTTTTGAAATGAACCTATTCGTTGGTCAATAAGAAATTCTATATATGCATACTATTAATTTCTAGCAGAATTAAAATCAAAATGAATACTACAAAATTTACAATTTTTTTTTTTATAAAAAAAAGACACATGCACACATATTCGTATACAAAAGTATAGTCTTCAGTACATAAGTAAATATTTCAAT